GGCCATTGTCTAGGTCGGATGTGGTTCTTCCATCTTCCAAAGTTATTCTCACAGCCCATTACAGGAAGTGAAGGAAGGTCGCTTGAACTCCAGATAGATTCCTTCCTTCCTTCCTTCCTTCCTTCCTTCTGCCCTCCCTCCCTCTTTTTCTTCCTTTTTCTCTATCCCCATCCCTCTTTTTCTTTTCCTTCCTCCCTCCCTCCCCTTCCTTCCTTCCTCTCCCTCCCTTCCTCCCTGTCTTTTCCTTCCTTCTTTCTTTCTCTATCTCCATCCCTTTCTTTCTTCTACTTCCTTCCTCTCTCTTCCCCCTCTCTCTCTGTCTTTGGTTCTCTCTCTCTCTTCTTTTTCTTTCTCTTTCTTTCCCCCCTCTCTCTACCTCTTCATCCTTCCATCTCTTTCTTTCCTTCCTCTTCCGAGTTTCTCCTCCTGTTCCATTTCCCCTCTTCCTTCCCCTCCTCTTGACCTCCCTACGAACGAACGGTGGGAGGTCCCACTTTCCTGCCTGGCTCATCAGCCTCAAAGAAAAATGGTACAGGTGGGATTCTTGGGCCCTCTGCGTCCGCTTCCTTGTCGCCTTCCTTTGGGTGCTTCGCCTGAAGGAGCCGACGACGACCGCAGCCACAGAAGCCATTCCCAAATTAATTTAGATGTCACGCAGCCCAACTGGGCCAGCTGGATTTGGCAGGTTGGTCTTCTCTGGGAAGCGCTCAAAGATCCCGAGGGGACACTTAGCAGTTTATAAATCTGTCAGGGGGGGCATTGCTGATGACCCCAGCTTTCACCAACAAACGCTTTTAAAGAGGCAGCTTTGCCCAGGTCCCCGGGGGCCAGTTTTCCTGCAAACATTGCACGCGCTGGAGATATTTGGGCCGTACTTTTATGCGGAATCAGGGAAAGAAATGGAAGAGCCCCCCCCCCAAAAAAACCTATATCCTAGCAACGGACCCCTTTCCTTCTTTGTTTAAAAGTAAAAGCCTATGAGATGGGGAAGTATGTCTGTCCTTCAAAAGAAATAAAACCATATCCAAGCAGGCTTATATTGTGGAGTTAGCCTCTGCCGTTTAATAACATCAAAGAGCACTTGATAATAAAATAGGTAATATTACACAAATGCAACAATCATTTATGCGGGCGGATATTCTGGTGCATAAGATCACCAGCACATCAAACACACAATTGCAGCTTCCTCAAGTCCAACCATCTTTCTTTCTTTCTCATTCATTCATTCATTCATTCTCTTCTGAGTCCTTACTATTCCTTATATGCCCCCCAATGAATTTCACAGTAAATTTCAACTCCTACAGACACCTTTTGAGGGACGGATGGACGGACATATAATCAGTCACTTTGGCTAGTAATGTATTTACAGGTAGTTCTCGACTTACGACTACAGCTGAGAAGGAGGGAAGGAAGGAAGGAAAGAGGGAGGGGGAACGGGAGGGGAAGGGATGGGCAAGGGCAGGGCAGAGTGAAGGAAGAAAAGAGAGGGAAACAGGGAAGAGAGGAGGGAAGGAAGGAAAGGGCATAAGGGGAAGGAAGGAGAGAGAAGGGGAAAAAGGGAGAGGTTTAGGAAAGAAAGGAGGAAAGGAGGGAGCAGGGAGGAAAGAAGAACCCCCCCCCAACTCCCACCCCCTTGGCTACCGGCCTCCCACTTGCTCTTGCCGTTGCCCGCCTGGGTTGAGCGGCACCTGCTCCCTTCCCTGCCCATCCCGGCCATCCATCCATCCATCCGACCGGCCCTCCCCGCCTGCCGGAGCCGGTGCCAGCCCCTCTCCACCGGGGTGGGGGAGGGGGTGAGGGGCGCTTCTGCATCCTGGGAAGGCCCGTGGGGGCCGCCGCCCTCCCTGCGCATCATTAGGTGCCCAATTGTGCCATTAATTCCAGCTGCTCCACGGGGATGTCGCTGTCAGCCCTGATTTACTCGCCTCCCGCTGACGGGGCGGGCCGGGTGAGGCGGGCCGGGGGCCTCGGAGGGTCTTCCAGGGGTGACAGGGATGCCAGCCGCAACTGCGCCCTCCCCCTCTCGGCTTAGGGATGGGGGCCACCCGAGTCCCCTTGAAGAATCGCTGAGGAAGGGGCAAAGGAGGAAAGGGGATTATTACACCCCACCACCACCCTCTCTCCCCCCTCCCTCAAACACACACACAACCAAACTGTTGGTTTAAAAATGGAAAAGGGAAAGTACTCTCATTTTTCTCTCCCAAATATGTCCTACTTTTTTCCTATTTTTCTCTCTCTGTGTCTCTTTGCATTTCCCTTTTTCGTTTCTTTTTGTATTTTTTCCTAAGTTGGTACCCATCTTTTTCTCTTTGTAAACTCTAATAAAATTATTCCAAAAAAATAAATAAGTTATATTAAAAACCAGTCTTCAGCCAATGCCCGTTCTCTCTGCCGGGATCAGCGGCATCCACACCATGACCCCAACAAGGTCAGCGACATCCCCCATTTTAATATTTAATTTTACACCCGCGGCTCCTGGGACTGTTTGAGCTTGTCTTGCAAAAGCCCCCTTCGGATAATAAGGGGCATGTGAAAAGGACTTGGGAAAATGCCCTGCTTTTTTCTAACTCCCCAAGGAAAGGTAGGAGTTGAATCTGCAAGGTAAATAAATCTGAAGGTAAGATGATTCAGGGACAATTAAACCCACCCACCCTTCTCTTTCCATTTCTTTAAACAGAAGAGACGCACTTTGCAAAAAAAAGGTAATTTGGTTTGGGGGGGAGAGAGAGAAATGGCTGAAAGAAACCAATAGACGATAAAGGTCACACAACATGTTGTAAGCCGCAGAGAGGCAGAAGTCACTCAAGGTTTACTAATCACCTTTAATGCTCCTTCCTTTTCAATCTGGGTTTAAATGTCAGCCTCCTTGGCTCTCACCTGGCTATTTATAACTCCCTAGTTTAGCAGTGCTGCCTAGAAACCACATTCATGGTGGCTTTTCTCTCTCTCGTCTTTCCTTTTCCTCTCTTGGTCTTCACTGCCTTTATAGGCAAAGCTTAGGTGTCTTTCTGCTTTATCGAAACTGGGCAATGGGCCATCCTGGCAAGGAGGAAACCACCCATCAGGACCAGTGGCTGCGTAGAAGGGCTTCCATAGGTACCGTAGAGTATGAAGCATTGGACAGTAAATGCAAATGCTCAGAGTGTGGTTTTGCTTTTTTACAGTTTACACCGCTCTGTATCGCACAACAATTGGGGAACAAAGAAGGGGGAGGTCAGAAATTCAAATTTTGCCTGTATTATCTTTAGGGGTGTTTTTTCACACAGCCATCTTTTTTTCCTCCCCTTTTTCCTTTTAATGTTTCTAAATAAATAACATAGTGGAGATGTTGGCATTCTTTCTCAAAAAAATGTATATTTTCTTGTTTTAAATCATAAAACAATGCAATATAAGAAAAGGAGGGAGCGAAGGAAGGAGGGAGGAAGGAAGCGGAAAGAAGGAAAGGAAGGAAGGAAGGAAGGAAGGAAAGACAGGAAGAAAGAAAAGGAAGAGGGAGGGAGGGAGGAAGGAAGGGAAAAAGGAAATATTTTAACCACCCTTTCCTTCCCATTTGCCAATCTCATGCCTCGTATTGCCCTTGGTAATTATAATAATTAAAGGAAAACCAAGCTCCAGATTTATGTCTAAATGCAACCTGCTGCCCAGTCTCGGCTGGCATTCTGATACCCACATCCAATTAAATATCCTGTAGGACCTTTCTTACAAGTGGATTCATTATTTACTCACAGGGTAATTTATTTCACACATTTTACATGTTCTCTTCAACCAGCAAAAGCTTCCAGAGCAAATGCTTTCATACAATCGGGGGGGAAAAACAATACAAAAGATGGCTTGTTTATAACCTAAAGAACATGGCATAAAAGGAAGAAGTCATGGAATGGGAAGAGGAAAAACTCAGCTATCCGTTCTCAAATTTCTCTGTCAAGACCTGAGGGAAAGAATGTCAAATCAAAAGGCTATTTTAGCTCTTTCTCGCCTCCTTGACCTGCTGCTCAGTTGGAAAAAAAGGAGAAAGAATGAAAAAAAACAAATAAATTCAAAATAGAAGGCTTAGGAAATTGATAGGCTCAATGGACAGCTGCCTGGACATACAGCCGTATGAGATTGTTTCAAGTTAGGATTTTTTTAAAAAATTATTACAGCTTGTCTTATTTTACCATATTACCACCAGCACAGAATAGAATGGAACATATAAATTTAATTAATTAATTAAACAATTGTTTCCCGTGCTTGGAACTGTATTCCTAACACTTCACTGGCCCTTTCCTAGCCAAATTCACTCTGCTGATTCAAATCCAGCTTGTGAATAATTTTAAGATCTTAAGATCTAAGGCAGTTAACCTCAGTCCTTTAGCCACATCTGAATTTTTTTAAAAAAAACTTTCTTTGTGAAAAATGTCAAACGGGTTTATGTTAAATCCCATTCTGTGCTTTTTACCACCCAGATCTGCATGCCTTTACAGTTGCCTTTGGAAATTTCTGTTGAATAATTTCCGGTTTCGTGAACTGCAAACTTGATAAGCATTTATCCCACGCTATCAACAATTCATCTTTTTTTTACTTAAAACCCTTTTACGTTGGTCAAATGTTTCTCTCATGTTTTCTCTTCACTTAAAAAGAAAAAATGTCCGTGGCAAAATAGCGTCCATTGAGCCTCGTTAATCAGGGTGCAATTTTTTTTAATCAAGATAGATTAAATTCTGCGAAAGACCTCATCAATCTTTAGCTGACAAATTTATTGAAAATCTTAATGGTATTTGATCAGAGAGAAAGTGACACCAAACATTACACATAACCTACACTTAATATTTAGCTTTACAGGTTATGAGATATAGATATAGATATATAGATATAGATATTCTTTCGTCATACTTAAATCATCTGTCTGCTCTCGTCGTCTGTGAAAACACACAATATAAAGGGACGATCAATGGTGTGTTTTTTTTTTAATAATAAAAAAAGTGAAACCAGGCTGTTCTTGAACATACAAAAATTGAGCCTAAATTTTAAAGGTTTTTAATAAAAGATGTGGACAGGCTGCTCCAGGTGAGAAAGCGTTTGGCAACTGGAAAGCAAAGACACAAACTTGAGAAATACAGATCGATTGAATGAATTTTCCTGAACTGCATCGTTCGTGTCCCTTTCTCCACAGGAGTAAATAAATTCAAACCTTGAGAAATCGCAGCTGGTTTTAATCCTCCATCTTTTGGGGGCATCCCAGAAAACAAGTGAAGGAAAAAGAAAAAAATATATATAGGTGGCCCTCAACTTACGACCGCAACGGAACCCAAAATTTCTGTGGCTAAGTGAGACATTAGTTAAGTGAGTTTTGCCCTGTTTTACGACCTTTCTTGCCACTGTTGTTAAGTGAGTCACTGCAGTTGTTAAGTGAGTCACACAGTCGTTAAACGAATTTGGTTTCCCGGTTGACTTTGTTGGTTAGAAGGTCGCAAAAGGGGACACTGCAACCGTCATAAATACGAGTCAGTATCAAACATCTGAATTTTGATCACGTGACCATGGGGGAAATGCTGCAATGGTCGTAAGTGTGAGAAACGGTCATAAGTCACTTTTTTCAGTGCCGTCGTAACTTCGAACGGTCCCTAAATGAATGGTTGTAAGTTGAGAACTGCATGTATCGCTGCAATTGTTGTCAATGAAAGGAGAGATCCGTTAAAAAAACATTTTAGCAAAGGCTTAAACACCTGTCAGCTTTGAACGCACAGGTACGTATCGAAAGTGTAAGCATTTTCTTAAAAAGGAGGGGTTTTTTTTTTCCTGCTTGTGTCTTATGTGCTGGTTGTGTCTGCAGTATAACAGATTCCGTGGTATAATGGATGTATGGAAATGCGTGTTATTGGCAGTGACCCCTTTAACCAGGTCTGTTTGAGAACAGCGTTGGGTTTATGGGCTGCCAATCGATAAAGGGGGATACACAGACCCCCCTCTCTGCCAGCTGCTGATTTTACGTCCCCCGCCTAAGAGCAAAAGTTGCTCTCTGATCAGGGGAGACACACAGGAGAAATTGGTAATTGGTAAAAAAAAAAAAAAAGATTTTTAAAAGGCATCCATACATGTACCCATTCCCACATCAGAAATTGTTTAAAAAAAAAGATCCAAAATGACATTCAGTCTGTATAGCTAAAGCAGCTCATTTACAGCGTCATAGAAAATAGCCTACAAATTAATTACAGTGACTTTTTATATTTATATATATATATATATATATACATATATATACAGATAAAAATAAAGGAGTCTCGACACTTGGCTTTTGGAAATCTAGATACGCAGTTGAGGCTGTTTTATTCTGTTGGGGAGGAAAGGAAAGGAAAGGAAAGGAAAGGAAAGGAAAGGAAAGGAAAGGAAAGGAAAGGAAGATGCTGGATAAATCAATGCTAAATGCAGCATCCTGAACATAAAGAGGAGGATGAAAAAATGCATATTAAAAAGAGATGTTAAAGCTTCATTTGCTGGATGGAAGTCAATATTAGGGAAGGGGAGGGGAGGGGAAAGAGGAAGGGAAAGAGGAAGGGAAGGAGGAACAAAAGAAAGGAGAGAGAAAAGAAAAGGGAAGAGGAAGGAAGGAGAGAGAGAAAGAGCAGAAAGAGGAAGGAGGAAGGAAAGAAAAAGAGAAAGGGAAGAAAGGAAGGAAGAGTAAGGGAAGGGAGGAAGAAAAGAAAGAAGAGGGAAATGAAGAAAAAGGAAGAGGAAGGAAGGAGAGAGAGAAAGAGCAGAAAGAAAGGAGGAAGGGAAGAAAAAGAAAAGGAGGAAAGGGAAGAGGAAGGGAAGAAAGAAGGAGAGGGACAGAGAGAGAAAGGGAGGAAAGGAAAGAGGAAGAGGAAGGAAAGGGAGGAAGAAAAGAAAGGAGACAGAAATGAAGAAAAAGGAAGAGGAAGGGAGGGAGGGAGGGAGGAAGGAATGAGAGAAAGAGCAGAAAGGAAGGAAAGAAGAAAAAGGGAGGAAAGAGAAGAGGAAGGGAAGAAAGGAGAGGGACAGAAAGGGAGGAAAGGAAAGAGGAAGAAGAGGAAGGAAAGGGGGAAGGAGTGAGTGAGGAAGGAGGGGAGGAAGAGGCTGAGGGTGAGGAGGGAAACCAAGGAAGGAATCCACCTCATCTCTTCTTTAGGGAGTGAGAAGAAGTCACGTTTTCTTGCTCTACTCACGTACGATGAAGGTAAGCTAAGGCTATTTTGGTTTCTCTTCCTTCCTCCTCAGGTGACCTCGGTTTCCTCGGGTTTTATAAAAAAATATCTTCTCTTGGGCCAGACTCTGCCATGAACAAACGCACAGAGAACAGACTGAGCGACCCCAGGAGCCCCTCCGGCACCTCCTTCCTTCCTGATACTCACATACGCTTCGCCAAACTTGGAAAGCAAAGTCTGTTCGGGTCCAGCCGTATCTGGGGAAGAAGCTGCCCAGGGGGCTCCATCAAGATGAAGCTGTGGCCTGGTCCCATCATCACCTCCACTCCTCCCAAGGTCCATCCTTGGACAGGAGCTTCCATGTCCTCCTTCCGTTTTTTTCCCACTTGTCTCTGCTGGCTGACCTTTCTCTTGTCCACTCTCCTGGGTCATTCCAGGTGGATGTCCAGTTTCTACCAAGGAGTTCTCCAGTCCAGTATCAAAACTGTGCGTGGTCAACTTCATCTAGCCAAGAAGCCGGACTGGCTGGGAAATCCGGATACCCTCCGCTGCTTCCTGAAGAGAGATCTGAATTGGGTCCGTTCCCGCTCAAGACCCTCATGGGTTGAGGCACCGATTGTCCGCCTTGGCCCACGATGCCCAAGCCGTGGTCTGGGTAAACCAAGCTGGACATTAAGGATGGGTGACCAGATATAGCTTGTAAGGACCCTGGTGAGGGGGGCATCCCATAAGGGCTGTTTGACCGGAGATCATGGAATTGGTCCTGAGTTGGGATGCCACCATGTTCCAAGGAGAAGTTCCCGCTGCTCCCGGGTGGTTTCGCCAGAATGGGGGAGTTTTCCCCGAGAGTGCTGTAAATCCCGTTGGGATGGTTGATGTCGGATATGGAAGGTTCATCTGGAAAAAGGAAACGGGAAAGTGGGAGAGAGAGAAGAAGGCCCACAAGGGACGTATCCCTCAGGTCTTTCTTCTTAACTGGTTTCTGACAATCATGTCAATGGGGGAAGCTGGATTCACTTAAAAAAGTGAATGCAGTAAAAAAAGATCAGAAAATGGCCACAGGAATGTGATGACTCATTTAATGACCACATTGCTTAGTGAGTAGAATTATCTGGTCGTAAGTCGAGAACTGTTTGAACTTAATTGCATTCAAAGGGACTTGGTCATAGTTTGCTTTCCCCAGAAAGTCCTCACATCCTTCTGAGCCTGATTCTAATTCTGACCCAGAGTAATATTCAGGGGTGAAATCCAGCAGGTTCTGACAGGTTCTGGAGAACTGGCAGCGGAAATTGTGAGTAGTTCGGAGAACCGGCAAATACCACCTCTGGCTGGCCCCAGGAGTGGGGTGGGAATGGGGATTTTGCAGTATCCTTCCCCTGGAGTGGGGAGGGAATGGGGATTTTGCAGTATCCTTCCCCTGCCATGCCCACCAAGCCACTCCCACCAAGCCACGGCCACAGAACCGGTAGTAAAAAAAATTGGATTTCACCACTGGTAATATTCATACAACCCATAATACCAGTCAGGAGTATCTGTGCAAGGCAGGAGAGGAAAAATAGACCAAAATAGTGACCACCACTGGACAATCAAAGCTCTGCCCTTTTTCATCTGCTTTGGCATTTAAAAAAAAGGAGGGGGGTGGAGTGGACCATGGATGGTGGCAGCCTTTTAGGACCTTCCTTCCCTTGTGCTACCCAGGAAGTGGCCACGCCTTCCTTCATGCCTTCGGGAGCACAGATTTGCACACACACCGTTGCAATCTTTCGTGTACCTGTGAAAGACACCTCCGCATCGCTGTCTGGCCCTCCTTCCTGGATGCTGTCCTTGTCCGATTTGGAATTCCCCCTGGACCGTTTCATGTTCCTGAAATATTGGCCCCACCTCTGCCTTCCGGCGTCTTTCTTCAGGCGTTTCTCTTTGGCCCGTCTGTTCTGGAACCACACCTGGAGGGGGGAAAGGAGGGTCATTCGTTCCTTTGGTTTATAACCCAGGTAGCCCTACGACAACCTACGACCACCATGGAGCCCTAAGTGTGGAAAACGGTCATAAGTCGCTTTTTTCAGTGCCCCTGTAACTCCAGACAGACACTCAATGAGCTGTCATAAGCCGAGTTTTTCACATTTGTTAACTGCACACCTCCTTCGGTTGCAGGTAGAAAAACCAAGCAAGGTGTGGCTTCAAACCTGGACTAGATGACCTCCAAGGTCCCTTCCAACTCTGTTACTGTAACTGTTACCTCTTAGAGCAAGATGGATGTCCTCTAAGGACCGCTTTCCCCTTTTCCTCCGGGTGAAAGAGTTGCACGACGCAAGAGATATATGGAGGCATAAATTTGTTTTTGTTGTGAAACACGTATTTCTGAATGCAAGCAGAATTTGGAAACGGGGAAGGAAAGCGGCAGTGAAGAGAATCTACGTGGTCTGGCGTCTGGGGCGTTTTACAGATAAATTCACCGAGTGACAAAAATGTTCTTTCTGCCATGAAGAAGTTTAAAGCTGGATCTGGCCAAGGGCCACGAGACAACGTTTCCTTTGCATCCCACAGTCTATTAAGGTTAGGGTTTGTAAAACAAGTCGTCCTCAAACTTACAACAGTTTAGTGACCGTTCGAAGTTACAACAGCACCGATAAAAAGTGACTTATTGACAGTTTTTCACACTTATGACCGCTGCAGCATCCTCAGGGTGACGTGATGAAAATTCAGACTTGGCAACTGACTCGTACTTATGATGGCGGCAGGGGAAGGACACTGCAAAATCCCCATTCCCACCCCACTCTAAGGCCAGCCAGAGGAGGTATTTGCTGGTTCTCTGAACTGCTCAAAATTTCCGCTACCGGTTCTCCAGAACCTGCTGGATTTCACCCCTGGCACACGTGATCTCCTTGCGACCTTCTGCCAAGCAAATTCAAGGGGAAAGCCAAATTCACTTAACAACTGTGGCAAGAAAGGTCGCAAAACAGGCAAGACTCACTTAATAATTATTTCACTTAGTAATAAAGACTTTGTTGATTTCCTGGCTGAAGCAAATATCTATCTATCTATCTATCTGTAATCTAGACATACATTTATAATATTTTAGATTCTAGGTCTTTTTTTTTTTAATTGAAATGTGATGTGAATGTGCCATAAGCCAAAGAGAAGCATATGGGGATTTCTTTCTGCTGCTGGAGAAATAAATGGCCCTGTGTGTAGGTCAGGGCGAGAACTTGGCTTCCAAGGTCCGTCTGGATTCCAGCTCCATCCCTGGGTTATTTTCCCGCTCACCTCCAATGCCGTCACCCACCTGGACCACTCTCATATCCAGGCCTGTTTCGGAAGACAGCTGCTCTCTGACGTGGCGGGCTGGTTTGGGCGAGTTGTTGTAGGCATTTTTCAAGGTTTCCAGTTGTTTGGCGGTGATGGTGGTGCGAGGTCGCTTCGCCGTGGACTCGGCCTCTGAAAACGCCCCCAAGAGCGAAAGTGTAAAAACCCCAAAAAAGAGATGCCCTCCCAAAGAAGACTCTGTGGGTGCCACCTCCCTTCCGATCAAGTCAAGGGCTACCTATCAAAGAGGACGCCTTAGGCAGTGGAGAGGCAGACAATATGGCTGCCGGTTTGGCCTAGTGGTTAAGGCACCAGGCTAGGAATCAGGAGATCCTGAGTTCAAGTCCAGCCTTAGTCATAAAACGTTGACTTTGGGCCAATCACCAGGAGACGATGAATTTTAGCCCCACCTTAGGTGACTTTGGGCCAGTCGCTCTCTTTTAACTCAACCCACCTCACGGGATGGTTGTTGTTGCAAGAATAGGAGGAGGAAGGTGTTTGGCCTCCTTGAGTTAAAGGTAATAAAGGTGGGATGCAAATAAGGCATTCTGCCCATCCTAGTTATGGGTAAAGTGGCTTAGCAACCTCTCCATGGGTGGGAATCCATCTGCGGTGACTTCCTAATTTTGAAAGGCGTGGGACCCCCCCCCCCTCGCCATTTGCAGGGCCGAGGGGGAGAAGGAGGTGGGCTGCTGAAGCCAAATGCAGACTAACTCACCCCTCTGCTTGGCGGTCTCGTAGTCAGCTTTGCAAACCAGCCGGCTGTCCTCCATGAGGTAAAATTCGTCCCCGGTGGCCAGCTGCCTTTTGCAGACGATGCAGGAGAAGCAGTGGAGATGGTAGACGAAGTCCTGGGCCCTTCGCACCACCTGGGTGGGAGGGATGCCTTGCTGGCAGGCTGCGCATTTCGTCCCAAACCTCCTGTGGATGAAAACCCGGGAGAAGTTAAGCTCGGTTGGATGAGAAGGGTGAGAAGATTCAGAACGTCTGGAGCTGCCGCGTTCAAAGGGGAGGAATTATGGCCACCACATCATCCTGGGGGCCAGCTTGACATCCTGGGGGCTCATCTCAGATCAGAAGGCCAACCTGGAGCACCGACTCCACCTTCATTGCAAGGTTATGAAGTTCACAGAATCCCGCAAGGTGGAAAATATTTCTCTCCTCCTTTCCTTTGACGCGCCTGAAAACTAGGTGAGGGAAAAGGGCGGAAGGAAGGCGGGAGGAGAAGGCCGGCCTTTGTCCACTCACTTAAAGAAGTCCTCCTTGCAGTAGACGCTCTCTCCGCGGCTGAAGCACTTCTCCGCCAGCTGCACCTGGCAGTCGTGGCATCGGAGGCATTTGCTGTGCCAGTGGCGGTCCAGCACCTTCAGGATGAAACGGTCCACGATGTGTTGGTTGCAGCCTGCACAGAGAGGGATGTCTGGGGGGGAAACGGTTCAGAGAGAGCAAGGACATCCATCAGCTTCCTTCCTTCCTTCCTTCCTTCCTTCCTTCCTTCCTTCCTTCCTTCCTTCCTTCCTTCCTTCCTCCCTCCCTCCCTCCCTCCCACCCTTCCTTCCTGCCATCTTTCCTTCTGTGCTTCTCCCTCCCTTCCTCGCTGCCTTCTCACCCCCCTCTCTCCTGGCAGAAGGAAGGCCGGATCCTGACCCCTACGGTCAGGATCGGTCTCTATTTATTTATTTTAATACAACAGCTTAATTAATTAATTAAAATTTATTGGCCACCCAGCTTGCCGTAGGATAACTCACTCTAAGCGGCTTACAACCATAAAGGATGAAAATTGCATAAACTAAAAACGTACATAATTCAAAGCCATTTAAAGATGGGGAGGGTGGAAGCAGGATTTATTTTATAAATAAAGAAATGCTTAACCATTCACCAGGAAATTAAATCTTCTGAGTGGTCCAGGCCGCCCCTCCCCCCTCCCCCCCATTTAAGAACTGCGGAAGGAATTTTGCGTTTCTGTTTCCCCGTGAGTGTGGAAAAAATTGCCATCCAAACGCTTCCAGTCCTTCGGACAGCGAGGCGCCTGGGCGCTCGCAAGGCCCTTCTTGGAAGCCTCTGGGTCTCCCCGGCCGGCCTCCCCTTTCGGCTCCGCGGACGCCCCACATCTCCGGAAACTCTCCCTTTCAGATTTACTCAGTCGTGCTTTTGTACAGGTGTTTGCAAAAATAAAAAATAAAATTCTGGAAGTGGGTTTAATTTAAGGAAAGGATCTGGAAACGGATGAATCTGGAAGAAGCCCAAGAAACATTTTTTTCCTCCCTATTTATTTATTCTAGTTCCTGTTTGGTCCAAATGATTTTAAAATAGGAACACCAAATTAAACAGGTTTACTTTGTGAGAAAAAGTAGGTGAGTCTTCCTTGTATCTCATTGAATGGAATTAACCTGTTATAAAAGATGACCCAAAGGTTAGGATTTCATCTACTTTCCCACAACACTGTCAAATAATTTAGTAAGACTGCATTACTGTTATTCTTCTCTTCCTTCCTAGTATCTTCTCTTCCCACTTATGACTATAACCATGTTTCTTTATCTTTCAATTTATATTGTTTTTATTTGTTTACTAGTACAATTTGATTGCTTGTTAGTATCCTATGGCTATCACTAATTGTTGTATCTTATGATTCTTGATGAATGTATTTTATTTTTCTTTTATGTACACTGAGAGCGTATGCACCAAAGACAAATTCCTTATGTGTCCAATCACACTTGGCCAATCAAGAATTCTATTTTATTCTATTTTTGAAAAACATGGTTTGCCTTAGTGGCCTGGTTCACACAGAGTTAAGAGTCACAAGCCATGGTTTACTCAAAAGACTCAACTAGGTCGTCAGATGACTTGTTTAGTGTTAACCTTGGTTAACACTAGGGGAATTTGCCTACATTCAAGAAAACTGGGTTCGTTCAGTCATCAGATTGTCTGTGGGAAGAAGAGTCAAGAATAGTCCAGATCCTTCTCTAAATGATTGTGGATTCAGGCTAGTTTATAGTCAACAAAATAACCAAGTTAAAAAGTGTTTCAATTTCTTGGCCATGGATAACATCTTGCCTTTTTTGACCCAGCCTTGGGAAACCCCTCTTGCTTAGCTTAATGCCTTTCCCAGGGAAAGGTGGTTTTTTTTTTTTTTTGAAATGTGTGAGAACAGCTGGTTATCGAGAATGGCATTGTCTTTGTTATTTTCCTCTTTCTTTGTTTCTCCTTTTTAAAGCCGATCTTTTGCCTCTCATATGGTGTAATAAAATAAAATAAAAATACAGACGGGTTAGATAAACTTGAGGGAGGCTGGGAAAGATATATATATGGATAAATAGGAGATGGATGGACAAATGGATGGACAGATGGATATAAAATGAATAGATATAAAATATAGATTGATTGATTGACAAATAGATGGTGGATAGGTAGATAGATAGGATAAAATCGATATAGATTGATAGAAAAATAGCTGAACAAATAGAGAGATGGATGGATGGATAGAAAAGAGAGACAGGATCCCTGTTTCTTCTTTATAGATGACGCTATAATCCGAATTGTTCCAGATCTTTGATCCGCTTTTCTGCTTGTTGCCAACCAGACCTTGCAAAGTTCCATTTTAAGCTGACTTTGGAGGGCCCATGAGACTCAAATTGCCAACATCAAAATCATTCTAAATAAACGCAATTTGTAGCACAGCTGAGACGAGAATGAGGCAAGAAGGCCGGAGGAAGTACCTGTCCCACATTTTTCTACTTTTATTCCCGCTTTCTGTGCCAAGGTGGGTCCTGCCCGACACCTTCAAGGCGCCTGCGCTAACTTTCTCTCTCCAAATCAGTGTGGGGTCTTGCAAGCGTCTAACTTTAGGCGGGTCCCATAATTTTTATTCGCATCAAATAAATGTTGCAGAAAAACAAAAGGAGATCCAAGAAAATCAAAACTCTCACCTAGAGATCACACCAAAACGAAAAAACAAACACCGATCATTGCTGGTGTTTACCCCGAGGATAAATAAATCCGGATTTTCGGTCGGAGCCAAAAACTGTCTATTCTTTGCTTGTGATTGTAATTATTTGTATCATCATTTATCATCATGAAGCCACTCGAGGCAAGCAACCCCCACATCTATGCTATTTTTCCTTAATTAAATTATTAATGTCTCCCCAAATTATTCAGTTGCTGATTCAGAATCTTTGGAGCAAAGGGAGACCAGCCATTAATAGCTCACTCTGTTACCATGATTTCTTGCCGGGTAAAATACCACAGCAAGAAAATCAGTCTCGTAAATCTCCTTTTTAACAGTGGTATTTATTATTTCAAGAATTATCTGGTATTAGTTTGAATTTACGAGTAGAAATAATAATAACTATAACTATTACTTATAATTATCTATTAAACTATTTCTAATTATTATTACAACTAATTATTACTATTACCAATAGTAATAGGAGCAATATCCAAAGGGCTGTCTAGATACATGGACATTTGGAACTTATTAGACCAGAATATTCTGACTTTGCAAAAGGAAACCCACCTTACTAGAACGGCCCTATAATATACTCAGAGGTTACCTTAACAGGTCCTTGTAGGACTCGAACTGTTTTACGTGTTTACAAGTCCCAGACTGAATCGAATTGAAGATTAAACTATAAATAATAATAAATAATAATGCAACGCCAGCAAGGAATTCATAGTTTTTGTTTTAGTGAAGGGTAAATTTGTAAACTAGCTAAAACTGTCCCTTTGAAAAGAAACTCTGGAAAACGGAGCCTAATGATGGAGCTCAACTTTGAACCCCGGGTAGATTAATCAAGGTGAAGGAAGCCCAGAGGCAAATTAATCAACCTGAAGCCTTGGTTGATGAGTCGGTCGAAGGCGAAGGGAGCCAACGCTTAATCGGTTGAACCGAGAGGTCGGGGCTGTCCCCCCCCCCCCCCCGCCCCAGGCCTGCCTCGCCCCGTTTTGCTGCTGGGGTCTGTCATCTTCGGGGTGGGGAGCCCCGAAGAAGAAAGGGAGCGCCGCGCTCCTCAAGGGAAGGCGGTCCTATTGCCTGGTCTGGCCTCTCCACGGGAGTGCAGATCAGAGGATCCCGAGCAAGAAAAAATGTTGCGCCCTGAGCGATCCAAAGCTTCCGATCGCACCTCTACCCTGGTCTGATCTTGCTCCCCATCTCCTCTTCCGCCAGCCCGCCCGCCCGCTGCCTGCCTCGGGGCGCAGCCAGAGTAAACCCAGAGGTCCTGAGCAGCTCGGCCGGGTAAGGGTAGCTTCTCAGCCCTCCGAGAAGTTCGTGGCCATCTCAAGTTCCTCCGGGTGGGAAACGGAGTCCCCTTCTCGGGAAAATGGGAGGCATTTAATATAAATTTAATAAATATACATATAAACGGACGGGAGAGCCCCCGGAGGAAGGAATAACGGATGGACCAGCGCGCTTCCCCCCCGCTTGCGCGCTTTTTACGCGGCGCCGGGCAGGGCTCCATTCCCGCCGTCAGAGGCCCTCCCGTCTTATTTCTTTATTTGTTGACAACATGAAGGAGTCTTGATCTTGGGAGCGTCTGTAAATCCATGGTGGCGATGGTGATGATGATGATGGGTGGGGGAGACGGGCTTCAAAGGAGGAAGGGTCCAGTTGGATGCAAATAAGGCGCCCGCATCTCCCCCCAGGGTAAATTCGGTCAGGCTGGATCCTCGGTCCGTGAGCGCCACTTTCCCACGAGAACGGCGGGGAAAGCCGGAGGGAAGGGACCCCTTCCCTAAACGGCGGTTCCTGCGAATCCGGGCAAGGAGTCCGGGTTGCGAGGAGGGAGGTGGGAAAAGAAAAAGAGAAGCGCGCGATGGACGGACGCGGGGTTCAAGAGCGTTTAAGCCTCTGGGGTCTCCTTTGAAGGGCTGGCGGGAGGAGGAAACGCTCAGAAGGAGAAAGGGAAGGGAAGGGAAAAGGTAGAGAAAGGAATCGAATTAAGCTTTCTTGATTATGACTGTAACTTTGTTGCTTGTATCCTTACGATTTTTATTGATATTGTTTCCTGATTGCTTATTTGTAACCTATGATTATCATTAAGTGTTGTACCTTATGATTCTTGATGAACGTATCTTGTCTTTTATGTACACTGAGAGCATACGCACCAAAAACAAATTCCTTGTGTGTCCAATCACACTTGGTCAATAAATTCTATTCTATTCTATTCTATTCTATTCTATTCTATTCTATTCTATTCTAGTCTAGTCTAGTCTAGTCTAGTCTAGTCTAGTCTAGTCTAGTCTAGTCTAGTCTAGTCTAGTCATCCTCCAGACTAGACAGCTTCTGTTCACCTTCTTTGTCCCACGCAAGACAGAGAAAAGATTTGATCAAAATTGCCTTCAACCAAAAGAGGAGGAGGAGGTCCAGTTTTTGGCGCCCGGGATCCTTCTAAATCCGGAGTCAAGACCCCCTAACATCCGAAA